CCCCCCCCAAATTTGTGTATCGCATCCCGACCCCCAAGGTGGTGGTGTGAGGAGGCGGGGTCTTCAGGGGTGACGGGGACGTGAGGGGGGAGCCCCGTGGATGAGACCAGCATCCTCATCAAAGAGACCCCGCAGAGCTCCCTTGCCCTGCTAGGAATGTGAGGACACAGTGGACGGACAGACGGCAGTCCGTGACCCAGGAGAGGAGCCCTCACCGTATGCGGAATTTGCCAGAGCCTCGATGCTGGACTTCCCAGCCTCCAGAACTCTGAGAATAAAATGTTTGTGGCTTAAACCCCTGGCTTAGGATGTTGTGTTATGGCAGCCTGTGTGGACTGGGACAGCCATCGCTGACTGCACTCCCTCTGAGCCATCCAGCCGTCCCTGAGGGGGAACACCGGCACCTAGAAACGAATGGTGGTGACACGTGGGGTCGCCTTTTGGCCCTCACGCTTCCGGTCCGGCGCGCCTGTGTGTGTGTGTGAACGGGCACGGTCGGGTGTGAATGGGCCCGCGTGCAGGCGTGGTCACACACAGTGTAGCATAAAACTTAACCGAGGTGGGACAAGGCTTTACGTAAATGGAAAACAGAACAAGAAAAGGCCATTTTGTATGAAATACCGTGAAACGGCAAACAGGACGGAGAGAAGTTCTCAGCACTTTAAAATCAGCGTGTGGCTTTTCCCGAAATATATTAGGCAAGCTGACACAGGCAGTCAGTCGCATGTCAACACCTCTGGCGGGGACCCTGCTGACAAGGGGTTCGAGCCCTTCGTCGTGGAGCGCTGGCATCGGGAAAGAAGAGCATTTGTACTCCCAGACCCCCCGCCCCCCCAGATGTGGGCATTTTAGGAGCGGAGACCCATTGAGCTGGTCGGTCTTTCTGTCGGAATCCCATGGGAGGACCCTCGGAGGGCAGCTGGCCAGCAGGGCCAAGGCGGGGCACAGCCGACTCCCTGGCCCTCGCGTGCCCTTCAGAGGGAGGGCGAGGTGACACGCTCCCCTGATAGGATGACGCTCTGACGTGCTCCATCAGGGTCTGCGAACTCACGGGGCATTGATGTAATCGGTTTGCACAGAGCTCTGCAGGGCTTTCTTGCCAGGAGAGGCCGTTAGCTGTGGGTGGTGGGCAGAGGACACGCTCCTCCGTGAGGGTGTTTGGACTAGTTTGCCTTTGACCTCCTGCAAAGGGGAAGGAGACCAGACCCAGCTGGGGCAGGGGATGGCAGACGATTTAGCAGGTTTCCGGGCCTGGGGGGGAATCGACAGTGCCTTCCCATCTACAGGGTTCTGCGTGGCCAGCCACGACCACAGCTACAGTTTAAGTCCGGCTGAGAATGTTCTAGAGTTTGGGGAGGACACGCCCATCCGGCCCATCGGGCCGGATGCTCAACCTGCATCTCAATCTGCCTGCCGTTCGAGGATTCGGGTGTTCTGTAAGCTAAACTCATTTCGCTCCTCTTTCCCTGTCGTCTTTGCTGGCAGTTTCTTGTGTATTTCCATGGTGTAAAACTGCTCTGCCCTAGTTCCTTTTAATGACCCCTTGTCAACTTCCTAACGGTTTCTTGTCCTGGTCAAACGGCGTCCTAGTCAAATGGGGGTAGCACGCAGTCACATTCCCACACCAGGGTCTCTGCAGGTGCTCTTGAAGAAGCACTTATGTCACTCCCCTACGATCGCGTGCAGGGAGCACTCCCAGACAAAAGGTGATCTGGCACCAGGCCGGAGGTCAGGGATGCTGGATTTGGGACACACGCACAACTTGGTCGTGTTCAGGGAACACGAGACAGACAGGAGGGAGGGCAGGGAGAGGGGAAAATACGGAGCGCTTCCGAACCCGGTGCGGCACGGAACCTGGAGTCAGTTCCGTCACTCCTGAGCTGGACACCTTGGGGCTCGGTAATGAGTGTTTCATCTGTGAAATACGGGAAGGGCAGCAACGACCTCAAAGGGCCAAGCAGAAGAGCACGGGGCAAGGTCCTGGTGCAGATGAGGCGCCACAGGGCCTTTGATGTGGGGCTGTCATCACGGCCCAGCCTCCCAGGGAGCATGGCTTTGCAGACCTGTGATGGGCCCTAATTAGAAGGTTTTAGGACTGGAGCTGTGTAACTTGGTCGGATGTGACATTTTTCGCTGAGAACTGAATAGCTTTTGCTGAAATTTGTCACCCCCCTGGGGGCATCTTAATCAAGAAGAACCCAAGACCGCATCTGTAAACCTCTGATGTTCATTTCTTTGGGCAGATGATTGGATGCAGGCTGGCGGGGCCGCCTGACAGAGCCTGTCCTGACCCGTGAGCACCTCAAGCCCGTCTTCACCACGGTCTCTGGGGAATGCGATGTCCCCAGAGCCATACTCGTAGTGGCGTGAAGGGGCAGGAGGCACACGGCCTGTGGTACCAGGTATGCCCACCATGGAAAAAAGATCAATGGTCCTCTGCTTGGGCTTCAGACCAGAAACTCCCTGCTGGGTGCCTGCAAAGTCTAGTTTCCAAAACTCTCAATCTGGAAAGGCAACAGGTGCTCCGTCTGTCGTTCTCTGTGGAGGAAGGCTCCGCTCCGATTTCGCTGGTGCTCCTCGGGGTGGGCCGGGTTCCGTGCCCCAAACGCGATCTCATCTAATGGTGGCATCGCTTCTGCAGAGGTGGCTGTCTGCCCAGAGAGCAAACGTGTCACTGGGTTCTACCATCAGACCTAGTTAGAGCAGAGGCCGGCCGCACCTGTCGGTAATTCCAGGAGGAACTGAGAAGGTGCGTGTGCTGAGGCCAGACCAGGCGCTCACTGGAAGCCTGGGCTCCGGAGCCCGACAGGTCAGGGCCAAGGCCTGGCTCTGCCACTTAGTTGCGGGGTGACCTTTAACAAGACACCGAACTCAGTTTCTTCATGTATGAAATGGGGGTCTTGGTGCACACGGTATAGTGGTTTGGGGAGGACCGGAGGAAATAACGCTAAGTGCTTGGCACGCGGCAAAACGCTTCGCAAATGGTTGTTACCGTTACCGTGGTTGCTAGGACTTTAACCCTGGGGGGTGGTACTGGATAGACTGTATGATTCTGGAAGGGACTCTCCGGTTCGGAATCCAGGGGCTCCCCTTATGGAGTTCTCCACATCCCAGCTCCCCGGCAGACCCACGGAGGAGGAGCACGGGTGCCCGGGGCAGCGCTGGCCGTGAAGTGCCGGTGGCAGGCAGGCAGCGCATCTAGTGTGTGCAGCATCTGGGAACCAGGGTATCTTCCGGAAAAGGTGTGTGGTGAAGGAACCCGCCTGGGCTTTAACAGAGAGGTGAGAAAAGGTCAAGGGTCAGAGATGGGCTGCTGGCCCACTCCTGGCCTGCAAGGGTGTCCCCTCGGGTGAGGGGCTCACGCCTGTCGGGCCTCACGCTCCTCATCTGGATGACGGGTTTTCAAAGGGCCGCGGCGAGGACACGCAGGACACACAAGTGCCCCTCTGAGAGGACCACGTGACGTGGGTCACGTCCGTTCAGTGACAGGGAGCACACACGTCGTTCCGGGAGCTCAGGAGGTGCTCGTCAAATTGTCTTGAATTGCTAGACGAATTAATTATCCAGAGGAAGTGCTTAAGAACCTGGCTAAGCCTTGAAGAATTAAGGAAATTTAATTTGAAACGCAAGGCATACCGGCGTGTGGCAGACGGGTGCCACGTTTATAAAAGACGCCTCTTACTCAAGATCTGACACGCCTGCCCCGTTTTAGGGCTGCCAAATGAAGGGGCCTCTGAGGCAGAGACCCTCGGCAAGGCCCTTCTTCTGGCCGGCACAGCAGGGGTCGGGCGGTAACATATCTCTGCCCCAACAGAGACGGTGGGCCGGTCAGGTGGGGGCACTGCTGTGGGCAGACGCCTCCGTCTTTCTTCCAGAGATGGTCAGAGCCAGGCTTTCAGCCGTGTTTTCTTAGGAGCGACAGCGCCGGCCAGGGGCATCAGGGTGTGACCCCTGTCTTCATGGGGACCACCAGTCACGAATGAGGAGGTGTGACCAGGCTCCCGGTCCAGGGCGGTGGCGGTGGGGGTGGCGGCGGGGGGGGGGGGGGGGGGGGGGGGGGGGGGGGGGGGGGGGGGGGGGGGGGTCTGAGGCCCAGCCCCTCAGGTAGACACTGCATGTCTGAGGTCCAGGCTTAGGATTCCACCTGCACGGGGAGCCCGTTTGGTCTCCACAGTTCCTACGTGAATTTAGGATCTACAGATGCTGGGTGTGGCGGGGTGGGAGGAAGCCCAGAGGGCCCGAGGGCACAAGGCCAGGCCGTGGAGGGGGAGTGACAGTTATACTGGAGGGCTCGCTCCCGGCACGGGTCACTGCCAGTTTCCACGAGCTGTGGTCCAGGTGTGACCTAGGCAGCCAACTCCTTCTCATGGAATGGCGCCATCACAGACCAGGAGGGCCCAGGCTCCGTGCTCAGGCCGCCTGGACGTTGCCTGTCATGGTCAGCTAGGTGTGCCGCGATCCGGGGCGGCCTGCAGGTGAAACGCCTCGGTCCATCTCCAGGTGGCCAGGGGCACGGGTGTCCTGCCAAGAGGACGCGTCGTAGGTTCCCGTAAGTAATCAGCTCCTGAAAACGTTTCTAGTAATGGGTCCGGGTTTACAGCCACTCTGGAGGAGCCCACTTGTGGCCTCCCGCTCCTACCTCAATCCTCACGTGGACCTCGAGGCCGCTAGCATGGAGCCCCTCAGGTTTTCAGAGACTGAATCCAGCGTGCTCTCCCCCGGGGCCTCGCCACCGCGGCCGCGCAGATCGCCTCTGCTTCCTGCACCGGAGCCACCTTTGCCTCCTCTTCCCCATGGAAACCTCCTTCTTTCCTCTCCCTGACTCTGTGCTCACAGCGTCTTCAAGATCCAGCCAGGACAAGGCTGTGGGGAGCTCGGTCCCGGGCTCCCTGCTGTCGGGACGTTTGAGGTTCGGGCTCGCCTGTGCCATCCAGGCTAAGTCAGTCCTGCTGGCGGGCAGGCGCGTGCACGGGCCTCTCCTCACCTCAGTGACCTCCTCCGTGAGACCGGATCACCATCACGCCTGCTCATGTGGTGAGCCCGAGACATCGATGGGACGCTCACCGAAACAGGATGGAAGGCGGCCTCAGCGCAGAGTAAATCCGCTGCCGGGCGAGGGAACCTACGTGCCAAAGAGGCAGCGTCCAGGATCAAGGGCACCAAGTGAGTCTACGGAAGTGGTTGTTTCTTTTTTCGTGGCCCAACCCCCCGAGGGACAAGGCGGGCTCCACGGTGGCTCAACAGGACCTTGCAGGAGATGGGGGTGAGGGGAACAGAGAGTTGGGGAGGCATGTGGTTTGGAGACAGCCTCCCCCAGGTGATGCTGATACACCTGCCCACCGCCCCCTTAGTGGGAAGTACTCATCTTTAAAAAATATACCTTCTCCTAATGGGAGAATGGCATTCTTTTAGCTACCCTTTCTTATAAATAGCCATTTTAAATGGAAGCTATTTATCGGGAGCTTTATTTTCTGTGCTTTAGCAAGTAGAGTGCAGGTGACTGCCTAATTATACTGCCTCCGTATTGAAGTGCTCCAACAGAAGACCACAGAATAGAGTTATCGAAAATAGCTGGCTTGTAATGGCAGTCGGGTTAGTTCATTAATTACAAATACAGAATTGGCCCGGACAAGTGGCACTGTGCTTGAGCACTTGTCAGATGAGACAGGAAGAAACATCACCCACGTCTGAGCGTGTTTCGCCGTCTAAGACTAGAGGGTATGCCGCTGCGCGTGGAGAGCGATGCGTTTAGGGTGAATCTGGCTCAAGAAAGCAGAGCACGGCGGGAAGAGAGACTGGAAAACATCCGCCTGTCCATTTATCCTCACACGGTTGCCAATCGATCGTCGAGGCAAAGGGAGGAAATACTGGTTGCGAGAGATGGAGAGTTTCAAGGTGTCAGAGAAAGCGAACCAGTGAGTCCCCAGATACGGTCCATTTCAGTGCTACCACCAAGAAGTACTGTACTGGTCGAGAAACCCCAAGAAGCTGCAGCGTAAAGGCTCTGCCCGTTATGCCTTGTGCCCTGTGGGATCAGCCCCACACCCCACCAGTGACTGCCATCAGGCACAGGAGCATCTGTCTCAAAGACCATCGCCAACATGCATGGCAAAACCACGCCCGATGTCAAGCAGCTGAGCCGGGCCTGAAGCCTCAGCATCCTCAAGCGGCGGTCCCGATTCAAGCCCCACGCGCCGCGTCCCAGGGTCCCCCAGAACTGAACAACACGGCCCAAGAAGGAACAGGCTGTGGCGGGGCGGGAGAGGGAGGAGGAAGAAAGGAAAGCCCCAGGGCAAGCTCAGGTGCGGCTCCTGGCTGCTTCCGAGGGACCGCTGCTGGGTCGGAGACCCGCCCCCTGCCACCACTGCGGAAGCAGCAAGCTGCCCATTTGACAGGTCTCATTCCTATTTTCTTCATAATTGTATTGCTGTTTAGTTTAGATTTGAGACTATAAATTATACACATTAGGAAAAAAAAAAAAAGCCCCGGGAAGGGAACTGGTTCAATTAACCTCGTTCCTTTGGGTGAGGGAGGCATAGAGGCGTTCTTTGGGGGATGCTGATGCCTTTTGCGTGCGGGTTCAATATTGGGGAGATCTTCACTCCTGGTGACAAGGGGTTAAGATAATGAGAATCAGAGTCTTGTTACTAGAGGATATGTTTTGATTATTAGATCGGATGAAGATAAGGGAGCGGTAATTTTGGAAGAAGTATTGCCAAATTGTTTCATTAACTGCACCGTATTAAAGAATTCCCCCAAGATACGGATAAAGAACATTAATTTGTGAAACTGCGTTTCATTTTTTTTTTTTTGAGAAGGCAAACATTAAAACGTTAACTGATTTAGAAGAAATTGCTCTATAATAAAAAATGTAAGGTCTATAGCCTCCCTCTCATAGTCAAATGCGGGATTGTATCTGAGTCAGACCCCTTAACTGTAACAAAGGAGAGGAAGGCAAATTATCTAATAATAATGCCACTGCTGGGGTCAGAAATGGCTATAACATGAGAAAATTAAATTTAATCTAGAAATAAAAAATGAGTGCTAGTGCTCACTGGGCAGGCTGATGGGAGAGTAAGAAACTCAAGAAGAAATAAATGCCACGGGTCCTCAACCCTCTCCCCAAAGTCAGCAGGACCGGCTCTTCCGAGGGGCCCAGGCACCCAGTGGTTCCTCGGACAGTGAGTGAAATCCACCCCGAAGGGGCCAGGAAGAGACCAGGGGGGATGTACGGTGGGGGCCCTGAGTCAGCGAGGTCAGGCCAGCGAGCTGACAGGAGCACAGAACCTGTTGGAAACTCGCCTCTGGGTCAGAGACACGGTCGTGCGCTGGGAAGGAAAATGTCAGTTTTAAAAAAAAAAATCCAAACGGGCCTAACTACGCCCTGGAAGTACTTTCTATAAGAAAAAGTTTTCCTGATGTTTTTGTATAACTCATCTGGACGTACTGCATTTAGTATACGGACGGCTGTGCTCGGCCGTCATTCATGTGCTCTGCACACACACGCGGGGCAGGGCAGGAGGCCCGGGAGGGCATCGCCCAGGCTGGGGAGGCACGGCGGAGCGGGGGCACATCTGGCCCAGGAGCTGGGCCCACACGTCACTAGTCCCGTCACTTAGTGTCAAACAAGCTACCTCCGAGGCCCCATGGCTCTCTGGTGCACCACAAACCTAGGGTGCGAGGATTACCTTCACGTTACATTAGCTGCAACAGGCTGGAAATAAATCAAGTGCAATTATTTTTAAAAAGTATACTAAAAGGTTGGCAGAGCTGGACGAACGAAGGGCACATCTGTGCAGGCAGCTTGTGACCAACCCTTCACCAGCAAGTGCACAAAGTGGCAGTCTGACATCCCGGGCTGGGAAGCATGGCCACGGGTGGGCGCGGGATGGGGCCTTCTACCAAGCGCTGCCTGCAAGGGATGGCCCATCGAGGGCAGTGCCGTCCAGGCAAGAGCTGGTAAGGGTTCAAAGGCACTCTCCCCGTCTTGGGCGCCAGGACCCTGCTTCCAGCTCCCTCACGGAGGCTCAAGGTTGCCCTACTTGCGGTCAGTTCCAGACAAGATGCTCTCCAGAAACATCTGACGGCCCCGGTGCACCCAGGCTTCTGACAGACGTGTCCAGGGGAGCCTCACTGTTCCCACAGGAGGGAAAAACGCTTGTTGACGGTTGGAGTTCAGACCAAGAAAAACCTAAGCGGTCACTTTGGCTTTCTGACGGAGAACAAATTCTCACCGTGACCCGTGCAGATTGCAGACATGAGACCTACTCATTGCAACAGCCAAGACGGGGCAAACGAATAAGGTGGCTTCCGGGACAAGGGCTCCTGCCACGGTCACTACACCCGGCACATGCCCCCGATGCCGGGGACAGAAGCAACCCACTGAGGGGCTGTGGGTGTCAGAGGGGAGCCAGAAGAGCCGCGCCAGTCGCCCCCCCACCCCCACCCCCAGGGCCGTGTGCGGAGGAAGGCGGGGCAGCGGGCAGGCGCGCGGGCCCAGCCCTCCCTCGGCCCCCTCGGCGCCCTTACTTTGAGCGTGCTGTTCTTGGCACTCAGCTGCTGCTCGAGCTGGGAGATCTGGCTGGCCGAGTTCTCCCGCAGCTTCGTGAGGCTGGCCTGGAGTCTCTGCACGTCCTCCACCAGCTGGGCGATCTCCCGCTCTTTGGCGGCCAACTCCACTTCCAGGCTGGAGCGGGTCAGCACCTCTATGGCCTGCTCCTGCGGAGGAGAAAGGAAATGACAAAGCCCCCCGGGGTTCGGGCAGGGCTTGGGCAAGAACACGCAGGTGGAGGGATGCGGATGGTGAGCTCAGGGTGAGGCGTGACCTCCTGCCTCCGCCGGGACCCGCCAACACCCTCCCTGCACCACCTTCCTGTCTGCACGGCAAATGCGACTGGATTCGGCCGGCGGACAAGGATTTACTGGGTGCCCACCAGGAGCCGGGCGTACAGTGAGCACAGGACGACGGTCCCTGTCGTTACGGAGCATCCAGCCAGCGGGAGGAGGCTGGGCATGCGAGCCGCATCAGATGTGTTGGCTGATAGCATAAGCGTGTTGGGCGGCAACCAGGCCATCAGGAGACTGAAGTGGGGGCGGGGCCCGGGGTCAGACTTGGGCTAGGTGGTGGGGTTTTACTGATTTGCATTTTTTTAAAGTTTATTTATTTATTTATTTATTTATTTATTTATTTATTTTTTTCAACGTTTATTTATTTTTGGGACAGAGAGAGACAGAGCATGAACGGGCGAGGGGCAGAGAGAGAGGGAGACACAGAATCGGAAACAGGCTCCAGGCTCCGAGCCATCAGCCCAGAGCCTGACGCGGGGCTCGAACTCACGGACCGCGAGATCGTGACCTGGCTGAAGTCGGATGCTTAACTGACTGCGCCACCCAGGCGCCCCAAAAGTTTATTTATTTTTGAGAGAGAGAGAGCGCGCACGTGCGTGCAAGTGGGGGAGGGGCAGAGAGAGAGAGAGAGAGAAAGAGACAGAGACAGAGACAGAGACGCCTAAGCAGGCTCTGCACCACCAGTGCAGAGCCTGACAGGGGGCTTGGACCCACGGACCGTGAGATCATGACCCGAGCTAGAATCAAGAGTCAGAGGCTTAACGGCCTGAGCCACCCTGGTGCCCCAGCAGTGGGGTTTTAATAAGATGGTCAGGAAAAGCCCCGTTGACATTGTGACACCTGTGCAAAGATCTGAATAAGGTGACAGAAAGGGTCCAGCTGTGTGCTGGGGGCATGAGCGGAGGAGAGGCAGACAGAGAGGGAGAGAGAGAATCCCAAGCAGGCTCCACACTGCCAGCACAGAGCCTGACGCG